CATACTGCCCTCGCGGGAGTGGGCGCAACGGTCAGAGTTTGAAGCACCCGCACATCATAGTGGTGGTCGGAGCGACGCTGCTGGCGCCCGTCGGGGTGCTCGTCGTCGTCGTCGTCGTCGTCGTCGCAGACGTCGTCGTCACGACAGTCACGGCATAGCCCGATCTCACCAAAGCTTGCTGGGGAGCAATGGCAGGAGCATCGAGCCAGGCGTCGTCGCCGAGAACCTTCTTGACGGTGTAGGCGGAGTTGTCAGCGAGCAGCTTCACAACAGAAGCACGACCAGTGGTACCAGCTCCAGGACCCGTGTTGTTGGCCTCCGCGAAGGTGCCAATGAACGTGCTGGGAGCTCCGATCCCTCCAGCCCACGGGGTAAATGTGGGCATCAAGGTACGAGTTGACAACAGCCACCTGGGCGTTGGTGCTGTAGTCCCTGCCGAGATAGGTGCCCTGCTGAGGCACGGTCTTGTCCTTGGGAACAATGGCGCAGCCATCGAAGACGATCTGGGAGCCGCCAAAGGAGTTCTGGTACCGGTTCGCCGCGATGGTCGAGCCCGTGTTGGTTGAGTCCCTGGACACGATGATCGAGTTGTAGAAGTAGCCGGCGCCAATGCCCCAGATGAAGTCTGTGGTGCCCTCAATGCGACCACCGCTGAAAAAGACGTTACCGTAGTCAAGGTACAGCGAGCCCTGGGTGGACTTGACGTTGCAGCCATAAAAGGCGACCTTGGTGCCCTTGGAGTAGGCAGCGACCGCGATGTTGTTGGTCTGCTGAGCGTATGTGTTCTCAAAGTTGATGTTGTAGAAGGTCACAAACTTGGCCTCGTACTTGTTGGCCGAAAATGTGGCCGTGCCAGCAGAGCCGCCTGCGCTGGAGAGAACGCCGGCCGCGTTTTGGATGGTGACCTTGTTGGACGACGAGGACAGAGCGTTGTCGGTCTCGCCGCGAAGGACGGTGGCGCCGGTGCGGGTCAGCGTGACCTTCTCATTGTACGTGCCGGCCAGAATGTAAATGTACTGCGTCGTCGCATCGGCGGGCAGCGCGGCAACAGCAGCAGCAAGGCTGTTGAACGTGGCACATGATGAGCCAACGGGGCCGACAATCAGAGCAGTCGAGGGGACGGATGAGGGTGCGCAGGCAGCAACTGTGGTAGAGACGGCAGATGATGTGTCGATAGTGCTGGCAGCAGCTGTCGATGTGGGGTCGACGACGCGCCGACGTAGTCGTAGCCGCATCCGTGGCATCAGACGAAACTTGTTGACGCTGCGCACCAGCGAGGGAGAGGAGTTCTACACTAGCAGCGACGGACGATGCAACGTTGACGCTGGGGGCGACAGACGAGGCAGAATTGACGCTGGCGGCAGCGGACGAAGCAATGTTGACGCTGGCGGCAGCAGAAAGAGGCAACGTTCACACTGGCAGGAGCAGACGAGGCAGAGTTGACGCTGGCAGCGGACGAGGCAATGTCGACGACGCTGGCAGCAACAGACGAAGCAGCAGCCGATGCCGTCGTCGTGGAAGTGGTCGTTGTTGTGGGGGCAACAGAAGTGGTCGTTGTCGTAGGGGCAACAGAAGTAGTCGTCGTCGTAGGGACAACAGAAGTAGTCGTCGTCGTGGCAGCAGCAGTCGTCGTCGTGGCGGATCCAGAGGAGCCCCTCTGGATCGAGCTCAAGACGGCGGCATCCACCCAGTCGACGCCGGTGACGGCAACACTGGGATACAAGCCCGTGTAGAAGGCGGAGAGCTCATAGGGCGCAAGCTTGCCGACGTCGGTGGCGAGCGTGATGTAGGCGGCACGGGCGGCGGCCTTGTTCGCGTAGCTGCCGGCGCCGGTGGTGCCGTACTCGATGTAGGTGTTGCGGGCGTCCTGGGTGGTAGCGTCGACGTAGACGCCCGAGTTGGCGACGAAGCCGGCGATGGACGTCTCGCGCCAGATGACGGCGACGCCGACACCGTTGGCGGCAGCCATGAAGACATTCTTGTTCGTGGTGCCGGCCTTCTGGATGATCTGGCACGTGTCAAAGACCACGTTTGAGTTGTACAGCTTGCCCGAGGCGGTGTCGGTGAAGCCCTTGTTGTAGACGATGAGGGCATTGTTGTTGGTGGCCGTAATGGTGGAGGCGTAGACGTAGAAGCTGCCGAAGGACGAGAAGATCTTGTCGGCGGCCTGGATGTACGAGTTGGCAATGAGTCCAGAGGCATGGCTGCCGGTGAATCCAACGCTGCCCGCGGCGGTGAGCTGGCACGAGTAAAAGGCGTGCTTGGAACCGCGCAGGAAGGCAATGCCGGCGGTGGACGCGGCATTGGCGTTGGCAATGTTGACGTTCTTCCAGGTGACGCCCTTGGAGGTGCTCGTCAGGAAGTTGATGGGCGGGGTCGTACCGGCGGCACCGTTGGTGATGGTGACGAGATTGTCCGAGTACGTCTTGCCCGTGGCGGCCGTCTCACCGACGATGGTCACGGCGGCGGTGGCCTGGATGGCGATGGCCTCGGTGTACGTGCCGGCCAAGACGGTGACGGTAGGGACAGCATTGGCCTGGGCGTAGGAGATGGCCGAGTTGATGTTGGTGAACTGACCGGATCCATCCGAGGCGACGGTGACGGCTGGAGACGTATTAGCAGTGGTGGTGGTGGTGCCGCTGCCAGCGCCGGTGCTGCTGCTGCTGCTGCCACTCGAAGTGCTGGGCGAGAGGCTGGTCGAGGAAGTGACAGAAGAAGAGACGACTGATACAGAAGAAGCGGTCGACACAGGAGAGGCCAACGCAGAGAAAGTGGGCGCAACAGACGCAGGAGATACGGCAGCAGCATGCGCCAGAGCAGAAAAATGAGCGAGGGCTGCGGCAGAAGCAAAAGCAGAAGCAGAAGCAGAAGCAGAAGCAGAAGCAGGCGGATTGGGGCGGCGGGCCGGGCAGACCAAATCACCAGAAGGAGGGGCAACAGTGTTCGCACCTTCAGCGGCAGCAGCACTTGGCCGGCAGAGGCCGAGCAGCAGCAGCGACAGGACGGTGGCCTTCATGCTGGCGGATGATGGTGATCAGCGGCAGGT